GCCATCCTGCGGCTCTTCCCGGCTCAGGAAGGAGCGCACAGAGCGCGCCGCGGCACTTTGGCCCGCCACTTCCACGGATTAGAACAAAGCCACAATATTGTGAAAGCCGAGAGGCCATTAGCGGAGGTCTCTGTCAGCGCAGGAGCGCAGGGGGCGGAGCTTGGAGTCTCCCAGAACTGGCTACCCTACCCCCCCCCCGTGCTTGGATTTCACTCCCTTGGGGGGTTAAACTCTCCACCTGTTTGTCTCCGGACAGTCAAAATATAACATTTAATGGAGACACGTTGTAAGCCCGGAGTCAGAGGAGAGACAGGCTGGCATTTGGCTGGCACGGGCGAAGGAACCGGCTCTGGTTCAGCTCCAGATTAAAGCCGAGGGATGTAAAGAGAAGCTCGCGGCCCGCTGGAGGGTGACGCAGGGCCACATAAGGGGGCGAGGGATCGAGTTGGGCTTTTTTTTGATTAGCAGACCCCTGAAAGGTCATCTTCTTGGCAGCAACAGTGAATGTCTTAATGGCTATAATCAACTTCCAGGAGAATCCGACACCAAGAAGAGGCCGCTTCGAACTGCAGCAGTTCACTCGCCAGGGAAAGCAAAAGGTTCGCTCTGTCGGCGTCTGAACTAAAGTCACAACGTGGCGCCAAATTCATCCACGAGCTGACTATTCCTGATTTCAGGAAACACCACAAGAGACGGTCACTGTACGAGTGTCAGAGATTCCCAAACAGACCCAGAAGCGAAGATTTCCCACTGCCGACTGCTCAGCACTGAAGATTTTCCACTGCCGACTGCTCAGCACTGAAAATTATCCACTGCCGACCGCTCAGCACTGAAGAAGATTTTCCACTGCCAACCGCTCAGCGATGCCAACTGTAAAAACCTTTTTCTGCCTTGTCCCAGCAGAGTCACAGTGAAGCGGGTTTTACTTCTGTAGTCCAAATGCCCCTTTTTCCTGTTGTGTACTATTAATGGATTTTTATTACAAAAAAGCAGCTTGTTAAATAACTTTTTTTTTTAACATTCTTGCAGAAGCAGATCATCATATGCGACATTTAATAAAATGCTTATCCGGCCTTATTTTAGATCCAGTGATGTCTTCACTGGGTCCCTGTGCTTGGCTATGCATGGCTGGTGAGATGTACAAAATATAAAGCTTACATTTAATCTGCTTATATTTACCTTCCCTGGTTCCCCTCCCCAACTTATTAATATGCTAATAATGCTTTTAAATAAAAACTTTTCTATAACATACCCTATTTTATACCAGATGATGAGACTCAGTGCTTCTGTATACAATGCAGGTAGATCGTGGCTGGTGGGAGGGGCCTGCAGGGTGCTGTACAGAGCATCCAGGAAAAGATCCCAACTCTGCCTCAGTAATTCTTTCAAGAGCACCCTGATGCGTCAGTGGGCGGGCTCTTGGGAGGAGTTATGCAAATATCAATATGCCTTGATGGGTGGGTGTCAGTCTAGAGGAGTGGGCGTTGCCAAGCAGGCTGTGTTTGCATGCAGACTGACCTAGGCAACACCTACATGTGATGGCTGAGCCTCAATGATTGGAAGAACTAAAATCCAATGAATGAAAGGGGCGGGGCCAGGGAAGGACGGAGGTCAGATAGAAGACTGAAGGGGAGGACGGAGGTCAGATAGAAGACTGAAGGGGAGGCCAGAGGTCAGATAGAAGACTGACGTGGAGGACGGAGATCAGATAGAAGACTGAAGGGAAGGACGGAGATCAGATAGAAGACTGAAGGGAAGGACGGAGATCAGATAGAAGACTGAAGGGAAGGACGGAGATCAGATAGAAGACTGAAGGGGAGGACCGAGATCAGATAGAAGACTGAAGGGGAGGACGGAGGTCAGATAGAAGACTGAAGGGGAGGACGGAGGTCAGATAGAAGACTGAAGGGGAGGACGGAGGTCAGATAGAAGGCTGAAGGGAAGGACTGAAGGAAAGGACGGAGGATTCTCGCGGACCGTTCTCCTAAACGCACAGCGACTGCTCAGTCGGTATACGCAGGTTCAGTAATGGAGGATACGGCGTTGCCCGACCCTCCGCTGGCACATTATGCTCATTCCACACACCC